CAGCTAGGGCTTGGCCAAGTAAAACCTAATTGGTAGTTCAGGCCAGCTGTCCCACCTGGGTTCAGGGTCTCACCTGTCCTAAGCTCTCACGTGCTGCCTCTTAGAGTGTGCAGCAGCAGGAAGCTGGAATTTAGGAGAGGAGGTGGAATTCAAGCCCAGAAACTCCAGTAGGAAATGTGAGTGCCCTAACCTGTGTCTTAACCACTAGACCAGATGCCTGCTCCTAAATATTCATTTTAAAGGTAACTTCCATAATGTGTCCTGCTTTATTATTAACTACAATTAATTTTTTAAGATTTTTTTGGTTAGATTTACTCAAACATTTGATATGTTTGTTGTGCAGTGAGCTCTCTGCTCCTGTGAACTCTAAGGTAACACAGGTACCTCCCTGGAGCTTAGCTCCATTAACGTCATCCCTTAGTTGGACTCCTCAGTACTTCTCCTCAGAGGATAAGCTTGTTCCTTTTCCATCCAAGGTCCCTCACAAGTGTCACCCAGCTACTTTTCCTGTCTTTGTCATCTGGAATTCCCTTGCATGCGCCCTGTAAACAAAGCAAAGTGCACTGCCAACTTTGTAATTGCTTGTTGTGTACGTTCGTTGCCACGTCATTTGTGTTCATTCTTTTCCTAGAGCACTTGCTTTGATTATCCTGCCCGTCTTTGCCTGCCAAACACATAGTTACAGATATTTTCCGTAAAGTTGTCCCTTTGCCCCACTCCTACAACTAATTTCATTCCCTCTGTACTCTTGCACCCTGCAGGTGTTGCTTCTCAAAGCTCCTTTTGTATGTTTCTAAGGTGGATAGTTGGTGAGTACTTAGCATTATGGACGTTTGTTAGGAATAGACACGTGTCTTTGTCTCTCTGCCTTTCGAGCACCTGTTGGGATGTCTTTCATGGGTAGTTAATGAGCCAGTGGTTGGTAGGGTAAGTTTTTAACAACCAGTCGCTGCAGTGTGCTTTCCAAACTGACAAGACGCATCCCCTGCTCATCATCTATGAAAAGAGCTGTGTGTAGCTTTGTTGCAGTTATGATGCTTTGATTAGGTTTTAATAATAATACCTGCCGTAGTACCTGAAGCTAATTAAAATGCTATATTCCAGGCCAGTGGTAGCTTTCTTATTTATCAGTAATTGCCTAGATGGGCATATGGAAACTTACTTTCACAATTCATAACTATGGCAACAGCAATAATAGGAAATGCTTAGAAATAATAAGAAATGTATGATAAGTATATAGATAACTGTCAGAGTTAAGTAAGTATAAAACAAGATTTTGAATAATTATAAAAACATTTCTAGATAAAAATCCTGAATTTGTGGGGATTTCAAGTATTATTCAAATTAATTTTTTTAAAGATTTATTTATTTTAATTGCAAAGTCAGATATACAAAGAGGAAGAGAGACAGAGAGGAAGATCTTGCATCCGGTGATTCACTCCCCAAGTGAGCGCAACGGCCAGTGCTGCACCGATCAGAAGCCGGAAGCCTGGAAACTCTTCCTGGTCTCCCATGCAGATGCAGGGTCCCAAGGTTCTGGGCTGTCCTCGACTGCTTTCCCAGGCCACAAGCAGGGAGCTGGATGGGAAGCAGGGCCACCGGGACTAGAACCGGCACCCATATGGGATCCCGGCATGTGCAAGGCGAGGACTTTAACCGCTACACTATCGCGCCAGGCCCATCAACTTAATTTTTAAACTTAATTCTAAAATAGAATTTGTGATTTTTATTTTTGTTTTGTTTTTGACTGATGGAATGATCAATAGGACTAAACACTGATAATAGTTATGTCAACTTTTAAAAGAAGAGTCATGGAAGAATTTGATGAGACTGGAAAGTTTTATGCCAGATAGTCAAATTAATTGATACTTTCACTGCAGGACTGGAGATGGGAATGGACAGTATTGGAGCCAGAATATACTTGTTCTGTACAATGATCACATGATAAACATCGAAGTCGCTGGAGGACTTGTCTTTCAAAGTGTGATGTTAGAACTGGCTGCTGGGAAGTGGGGTAGGAATGACTCCATCCTTACCTTCAAAATGAATGGTCCAGAAGGAATAAATGGTGGATACTAAAAAGGAAAATATCACCATGAAAAAATAGATAAGAAGTAACTGTGAGCCCTGGAAAGAACTGAAAGCTGAAAGCAATTAAAAAATCAGAGGAAAATATTGATTCTATTAGATTATGTAGAAATTTAGAAACATTCCATGTCAAATGAAAGATAAAGGACGCTTTAGGGAAAAAGCATGTCGCATGGTGAAAGTGGGTGTCTGGCATAGCAGTTAATATGCCACTAGAGATGCCCGAGTTCCATCTTGGAGACCGTGGGTTTGAGTCCTAGCTGTGCTTCTGCTAAATGCACACTCAGGGTTGAAGCACTTGCTAGCTCAAGTGTTTGGGTCTCTGCCACCCACTTGGAGACTCCAGACTGAATTCCTGGCTCTTGGCTTTAACGAAACCAGCCTTGGCTATTGTGGGCACTTAGGGAGAGAACTCATAAATTGGACATTTTTCTTCCTGCATCTCAAAAATAATTTTTAATTTATTTTTTAGAATGTTTGTTTATTTTTGGGCCTGGCGAGATAGTGTAGTGGTTAAAGTCCTCGCCTTGCATGCGCTGGGATCCCATATGGGCGCAGGTTCTAACCCCAGTGGCCCTGCTTCCCATCTAGCTCCCTGCTTGTGGCCTGGAAAAGCAGTCAAGGACGGCCCAAATCCTTGGGACCCTGCACCTGCATGGGAGACCTGGAGGAGATTCCTGGCTTCTGGCTTTGGATTGGCACAGCACTGGCCGTTGCAGTCACTTGGGGAGTGAATCATCGGATGCAAGATCTTCCTCTTTGTCTCTCTTCCTCTCTGTATATCTGACTTTGCAATTAAATACATTTTTTTTAAAAGAATACTTATTTATTTTTGTTGGAAAGGCAGATCTACAGAGAAAAAGAGAGACAAAGAAAAAGATCTTCGTCTGCTGGTTCACTCCCCAAGTGGCCACAATGGCCAGAGCTGAGCCAATCCAAAGCCAGGAGCCAAGAGCTTCATCCAGGTTTCCCACACAGATTCAGGGTCTCAAAACTTTGAGCCATCCCCTACTGCTTTCCTAGGCCATAGGCAGCGAGCTGGAAGGGAAGTGGAGCAGCCAGGACATGAACCCTTGCTCATATGTGATTCCAAAACTTGAAAAATGAGGATTTAGCCATTGAGCCATTGTGCTAGGCCCCCAAATCTTTTTTTTTTTGTTAATGAGAGAAGTGAAACAAAGCAAGCGTTGTAATGAAACATGACAAACATAAAAATATAAGGGCATAGAAGAAACAAAAGCAGAAAAATGTATGAGAAAACCAGTGTTTAATGTATAAACCAATGTCAGAGTAAGTTGAAATTGTGTATTAATGATGAAACTATGTTTTTATCCTATCAAACTGAAGAGTTTGAAATTTAGTACTTATAACTTATTAATAGTATGATAAAATGGACATGTTAGTATGTTTGTTACTTCAGTTGTGTAAATCAGTGCTCGGATTTTAGGAAAATAAACGGTTCTTACTGTTTGGTAGTCTGATCCGCCCCCCGCCCCCCCCAATCCTGAAATAAAAGGAGGGTAGTCATTTGTGAGTACTACTGGGTAACAGATCACTTTAAAGTTGAGTAGCTTTAAGCAGGCACTCATTATCTTAGTTCCTGTGGGTTAGGAACCCCTGTGCTATTCAGCAAGGTGCCGGTGACTCAGGCTCTCACAGTGATGCAGTCAGCTTAAAGCTCTCATCCGGAAAAATCTGCTCCCGGCCTCCCTCATGTGGCTGTTAGCGGGCTTCAGGTTTTTGCTAGCTATTGGTGAAAGACATCAGTTCCATTCCACCTTAGAGCTGCTCACAGCATGGCAGCTGGCTTGCCTGAGGAAGAGATGGAAGTCCTGTTGTGTTTGGGGCCTATTCTTGGAAGTGACATCTGTTCACATCTGCTGTTGTCTGTTTGCTAAGAGTAAGACGTGGGTATATCCTACACCCACACTATCGAAAGGATTACACCAGGGCTGAAGTACAGGAGATGATGTATTTTAGGTGCTGTCTACCATGCGGGCTAGAATGCAAAGGTTTGTGTCGTGAGTTTGGATTTTATAATAGCAAAAAGAAAACAGTAATTACATCCATATACACAAAGATAATAATTTCTATCTTGTTTGAGTAACAGACATGTGCTAAGCATTTCTAGATGCCTTACACACATTTCTGGGCCTAGTAACACCTGTGTAAGGTGGTGGTTCCATTCATACTACTGGTGGAAAGTCATACTCAGAGACAGGAGTAACTGAGTGCGCAGTGCTGGAGTACCACTCCAGGGCTTGTTGGGCTTTCAAGCCCGGTGACCACACTGCCTTGTGAGAGTCCTTGCACGGCAGGCATGTTTCCCAGCAGTTAGACGCCTGTGTCTCGTGTCTCAGTTCGTGGGTTCAAGGAGTCCAGGCTTTGCTCTTCACTCTAGTTTCCTGTTCATGCAGATTTGGGGAGGACAGCAGTGTTGGCTTAAACCATCGAGATCCTGCTACTCATGTGGGAGACCTTGATGATGTTTCCAGCTCCTGGCGTCAGCCAGAGCAGCTTTGGGAATCGAGGAGTGAACCAGCTAGATGGCAACAGAGATTTCTCTCTCAAATTCAAAGCAAAATGAGAAGAGCACTTAAGAATAATATCTAGTGAGAAAAGCATGAAAACTTTGAATAAAACGTCTGTGGATAGGTTTTGTTCATGTGTGAGTAAAAACAGTTGTGAATGCTATGTCACTGGTAGAAAAATGCTAAATTTAAAAATCTTCTTTCATTCTTCATCTACATTCTAGATGTATTCCTTTCATAATTATTTTAAAAAGTCAGTGTACTTAGTAAAACACTTCAACTCTCCACTTGCAAGGAAAACCCTAACAAGACTTATCACATTTTCATGTTGCATTGGCATTTTACTTCATAATGAGTCATTGCTTTGAATCTGCTTTCTAGATTACGGATCTCTCATTACCCAACTACCTGATGGCATCTTCAGTTGGACTGCTTCCCACCCAGCTTCTGAATTCTTACCTGGGTACCACACTGCGAACAATGGAAGATGTCATTGCCGAACAGAGCATTAGTGGATATTTTGTGTTTTGTTTACAGGTGAGCTTAAGCCAGGTCAAGTATTTTTTTATTGTTTTGATCTTCTTTTAAGAAATTACATTGCTGATTTAAATCTAATGCATTTTATTAAAAAATAATTCAAGAGAGGATTTTCCTTGTTAGGTCTTTTCTTGGTTTCAGTGCTACTTTGCATCTTGACAGCATTAAAATGCTCTAACTATATCTCTACTCATATTTGGAAATACGCAGACTGACTTAACACTTAATTGGAAACTTGTTACAAACAAGGAATACTAAAAAAAAAAAGGTGTTTTTTTTTTTTGCTGTGATTGTTTTCAAAGTCATCACAAGTCTGATTGATATTTTGACTTTGTGTCGAGTGTTGTATACTATTTTCTGTGTGTTCCCTGTTCCTGGACATAGTGCTAATGATACTTGATGGAATGTTGAAAGTCTTCAATTTTTATTTTTAAAGTATTAATTATACTGGAAATATAAGTTTTTTTCTAGAACATTTTGATGTAGAACAAAAGCATAAAGTTATTAAAAATTCTGGTTTTTCATTAAAAATTCAAAAGATTTGTGCAATGGGTTATTATTGCCATGTAAATTTTAATTTGGAGTATGTGTATTCTGTAAGAGATTGGTAGAAGGAACATACTACCATGTAGCCAAATTTATTCAGAGCCCTAACATTGCATACAGAAAGACTTAAAAGTTGCAGTTGATGTCTTTCATTGCTGAGGTCTCCAAAACAGAAAGCATCCTAATTTTTGATTAGTCAGTAAGATGATGATGTTAGCCAGCCCATATGCAAAGCTTCATGCACTGCATATTTAAGCTCATCTAGTTCCTGCCAAAATTTGGGGAACTTAGAGTTTTATTATCTTGAGCCAGTTGTGTCTCTCTTTCCAACTCTGCGTTCCATGACATCGTACTGGTTAGCTTGAAATTGACTACAGTTGGAGTATTTACAGCATAGGAAAGGCAAATGCTACCAGTCGGGCTTCCTGCTTGGGAGCCCCAAGAGCTGTTTTAGTAGGACACGTCTGGAGACAGTGAATGGTAACTTGTGCAGAGTCGCTGCTGTAAGGGGCAGGACTAGGATTTGAACCAGGATGGTCTAGAGAGCATGTTCATAAGTGATAAAATATATGATCTCCTGGGCAGGTAACACTAATGAAGTAGTCCCATAGACTTAACGTAATGGCCCTTTAAACTTATTCATTTTAATGTATAGTATGATACAATAGTTTTAACGTTGGTGGCATTATTCTCAAGTTTCTGTGTCATGAGATTGTATTAAAAATACTATGGTGAGGCCTGGCGCGGTGGCCTAGTGGCTAAAGTCCTCACCTTGAACATGCCCGGGGTCCCATATGGATGCTAATTCTATCCCGGCAGCCCCGCTTCCCATCCAGCTTCCTGCCTGTGGCCTGGGAAAGCAGTGGAAGACAGCCCAAAGCCTTGGGACCCTGCACCTGCATGGGAAACCTGGAGGAGATTCCAGGCACTGGCTTCAGATTGACTCAGCTCCAGCCGTTGCGGCCACTTGGGGAGTGATTCATTGGATGGAAGAGCTTCCTCTCTGTCTCTCCTCTTCTCTGTATATCTGATTTTGCAATAAAAATAAATAAATCTTAAAAAAAATACTATGGTAATATAAACCCAAAGTTAATTTTCTTTGTGTTTATGAGGTACAAGTTGAATAAATTAAATAAGGGCAGGAATGTGTATTTTTGCCTGGTTGCTTTAATAGAAGGTTATCAGTAATAGAAGTGCTTACTTTGAGAAAAATGCTAGAGCATCTTTCAATATTTGATTTCTCTTTAACTGATTTTTTTTCCAGAGATATACTGAATTTAAATAACCTAATTCAAGGTCTAGGTTTTTTGATATATTTGGTTAATTTGTATTATTACAACATGGTTATTATGTAATATTAAACTTTCTATGCATTATAATCATGACATAACATATTTACAGTCATCCCCAGATATTATACGAATCTGATATACACTGTGTTCTAGTTTTTTCTAGTATAATTTAAGCGTATTTAATACCGTTTTCGTCCCTTGATGAAGTTTGAGTGGAGTTCCACATTATTAGCAGCTTACCAAGGGTTTTCCCTGTTTGGAACTTTATATTTCTGTGCTTCCCCTTTTACTTTTTTCTTCCCCTTTTACTTAAGCCATTGGAATACAGGAATGGAAAGGCACATATTTCTGAGCTCAAGAAGAAAAGAGAAAATACAAGTGGACTCCAGTTTGATTTATTGATATTACTTACAGATTAATTTGTTTCAGGAAGGATTTAATACAGCAGGCAAAAACGATATGGAAGAGTAAAGTGAGAGAAGTCATTTTGAAGGGGAAAATTTGCATAGAAAAAAGTGATTTTCAAGTTAAAGTTTGCATATACATTTGTATATTTTATGTACTTATCTGCTGATAAGTATCAAAGAACTTGTAGTAAGTACATCATATTTTTTTAAGAGAACTAGTGTATTTAAACACAATTATGGAATTTAAAGACTGACAACCTTATCAGTCTATTTACTAAGCAGTACCTGTGGCACCAGTTCCATGAACTTTTAGACCCCAATCTTCTGCTCAACTCTGTTTTCTCCATCAGCTTCAGTACTTGAATTATTTCCCCCTAAAATTTATGCTATAATTATGAGTAGGTTTCATGAAAAGGAAGTTGCATTTTAGGGTCACTTTTGGTTACGGAAGCCTTTGTCAACTTGTTGACCCAGCAGACCATAGCAACTGTCACTGATCCAAAATCAGAAAAAACTTCTTAAAATTGGAACTTGGAATAAAAATCACTTAGCTGTTAATTTCATAGACATTCTGGTGCATTACATGCCAAACAATGGGAGCTAGAAGTCCAGTGACTTAAGGATTTTTTCTGAAATCACATGGTTAATGAGTGGCAACACTGAGGCGAGAAGCCTGCCTTTGAATTTGGTCAGTTTAATGTTTTGAAATCTTTTGGCATTTCATTTTTTTTTTTCTTAGGTCGCCCTTAGTACTTGCAAGTATTCTGGCCAACAGTAGTGGTGTCACATAAAATGATAGTGGTGCTCATTAACAGGAAGTTAATTTTCAAATAGCAATGCTCCTTTCTATGTGAGCTTAAAAATGCATCTGAATATTGAAAACAGAGTGTAAGCTTTTCTTTGCCCCTCCTCTCCTTAGGAGAAATGATGAAGAAGAGAATAATTGATAACTGCATGTGAACAATTTAAAAATGTGGAACCTCTTAGCATATCTGAGAAACATCTTGTTCAAAGCATTTCTCAGCCTAGTATTCAACAGGTTTCCTTCTCGACTTGTCTATAAAATACTGATAAGCAATATTTCATTTGTCTTCACAGATTGTTATAAGCATAGGCCTCATGTTTTATGTAGTTCATCGAGCTCAAGTGGAATTGAATGCCGCTATTGTAGCTTGCGAAATGGAACTGAAAACTTCTGTGGTTAAAGGCAATCAAGCAAATACCGGCGGCTCTTCATTCTACAACAAGAGGACCCTAACATTTTCTGGAGGTGGAATCAATATTGTATGATTCTAACAAAATGTTTGACGGTCAAGAGCCGCTAGTGTGCTGGCCATGGTCTAGCAGTTCCTTCACTGTTGGGCGAAAGACTAGTTCTTACTGTATTACGGCACAAGCAAAACTGACTAGTTTTTAAATTGCACAATTTTTTTAAGGCAAGAATCCTTTTCTGGATATGTAAATGTAAATGTAGATGCAATTTTGGCTGCACCTCTTTATTATGCCTGTAATGGCCAACAGGTCTGCACTTTAGTATTTTGGTAATTGTTTTCTTTCTGGGTACTTAAGAACAGAGAAATAACCCAAATATTTTTTTTTCTGCTTACTGCCTTTATTTATAAAATCCATAAATAGTTGTATGCATCTTTCCCTCTTCTAAAGAAGAGTAAAGTATGCAGTTTTAAACACATTCTATTACTGGACGTTCTTTGCTTTGGCAGTCTTTCTAGAAAAGATGAATAGTGGTTTTTGTTTTGTTCTGTTTTTTGTTTTTTTTTTAAATGGAATCACTTTTCTTCCCTATTCCTTACTGGTTAGAAAACAACATTAAATTTTGCTTGAATGTATTTTTGCAAGCATCACATTATTGCTGGGCCATTTATACCTGTTCATACAAGCTTAATCCTACATTGTGGGACTGAAGTGCTCTTAAGATATCTTTTTCTTTTCACTGTGTAATATGCAAAGCAAAAAGGAAATTGTTTAATGGATGATGGCTCCAAATTAGAACATGGTGTTCTAATTCAGTTATGTTGGCTTTATCCTCCTGAGATCTTTCATCAAAGGGCTGTCCCATTGCAGTCTTACTAGAACACTTATTAAAGTAAATATTTATCCTTTTTGTATGACTAATTAGGCTTTGAAATAAAGACACTAGTCCTTTTAAATGATGGGTTACCATCATTGAAGATGTCACTCAGGTGGCCTTGTTTGCTCAAAACGCCTTTTTAAAAAGCCAAGCTTTAAAGTCATGTTTATAGTTACATTTGTATGTGCACATGTATTTGTCCCCATAGTCTTCAGCTTTAATGCCCAAAATTTGTATTATTTGCCATAGAACAGATTTTGTTTTGTTTTGCTTTGTTTTATTTTTGTGAGTTTGGTTTTGGTTTTGGTTTTGGTACTTTACTTTTCTCTGATAAGACTCAGGAATTCTGAAATGTGAGATTGTCTCAATTATTTCTCTGGTAGCATGAATCAAGTGTATTTATTAATAGTACATATGACTGTAGAATACAGTAATTTGGCATATAATTCATATAACACATATTATTCCTATATCACCTTTATTTTTTAAAAGTTTAATTGTAAACTTAATGATTAGGTTTTTTTTTTTTTTTACAAACGAGGTTATAGATTATAGATAAAAATGCCAATTTTCTAATGCACATCTCTTTTTGGCCTTGAATATCCCAATTTGTCAGAGATCTCCCATTGCCTTTTCATCAGGGCCGCCTTTGCCCTGACTTAACTGAAGTACAGAGGAATTCGTTGGAAGCAGATTATTCTAGTCTTATGGCAGAAATAACATTGATTCTTTTAATACAGAAGTTGCCATGAAGTACAGTTGTTTCTCTTCCACTCACAATGTGTAAATTTTCTCACCCTTGTAACAGTGAAGATCAGTTTTATGCCCTTGCCAAGGAAACTTGATCTTCACTGATGTGTTGAGACACCCCTGGGTCTGCAGCATAATTGGCCTTCAGAGCCTGCCTTCTATTATTGATAGAAAAAGAAATAGATAACACTTTAAAATTTTGTTATTTTTAATCCTCATTGCCTTGCTAGAATTTAAAAAATGGTTTTAGTTTAAGTCGCAGTTAACAATACAATTGATCTACACTTTTCTGCCTAACTTGACTATATTTTTCTTGTGCTTCTTGTTTCTTGATTTGTTTTTATTAAAGGAATCATTATTTGAAATTGCTATTTTCAGACTGATTTTACACTTCATGTATTTTGAAGTATGTTTATTTACTTAGCATCTGTGACTTGAATAATTTCACCAAATGAATACCCTTGGTAGTTTGTAATGCACTCTTCCAGTTGTTACACTTCGCTTGGTACTTGTAGTAAATATGTAAAGGTAAAAGAAGTAATTTTTCTGTATTCTGCCAATCATAATTTTATATAATAAATCATATTTTTTTTTCTTAAAATAAGCTGGACTGACTGTGTGTGACACCCTGCTCTGTGGCTGCGGTTCTCCTTTTCCACAGTACTTCCAGTCTCCGCTATCATCGACCTAGGTCCTGGGTGGATTGCATCGCTGAATTATTACTCAACTCACTATAAATTGTGCAAAGCATCACCAGGTCTTATCCACTCTGTCACTAATCCTGCTGGCTAAATTTGTGGCAGCAATACATTTCTCAGGATACTTTTGTGTTACCCAAATACATAAAATGTCTTTAGTTATGTATGTTTAGAGATGTGACATATTTTCCTTTGCTCAGTCTGGTTAAAAGCAGCAGAAGTTGCTTTATGCTCATTTTAAAAAGTGTACAATACACCTGATTTCTAAATCAGATGGAAGATTTGTTCTATTTTTAATTTTGCATGGGCTTCCTGAGTTTTCTGTATTTTCTGGTTTATCATGGATGGCTTTGTTTACTGTTTGCCAAATTTTGCCATGACCATGTGAATTTTTTTTTTGAAAGTAGCATCTCTCTTTTTAAAAGCATATTTATGAAATTACTAAAACTGCTTTCATAATCATTTTCTTTGGATTGATTTATGAAAGAACATGAAATCTGTACTATTTATCTTGCCAAAAATAATATAACCTGGTGTGTGGCATTAGAATGTGTATTCTGAATTATGTTCAGAAATGACTGTGGCTGTACTTAGAGCCGGCATGGCTCGCTCAATGCGCTTTGTAAGCAACCACAGCTATTTCCAAGGTGTTTTTGCCCCGATAGGTTTAAGTGGGTAACTTAGAAAACCCCTTCCTCCTTGCGAAGGCGTGAAGATCAGTAGTTAATTTTCCCCCACTGTAAATGAGCCAAGTGGTATAGGTACCGACATTTCCCCAGCCTTGCTGTATCGGTTGACATGCAGTGCTGATGCGGAAGAGGCAGTGACTCGCCTATGTCAGCATGCTAGCTATGGGCTGGACTCTGAGGTCAGAATGCTTGAGAACGGCACTAGGGGTGTGCTAGGTTGGTGCAACTAAAAGCTTAGATGCGTGGTAAGCCCATCCTTGCCATTTGTAGCCAGGCAGCCTTTGCAGAATGTGGACTCAGGAACAGAATTGCAGACCCAGGCTGATGACCTTGGTGGTGGAAGGTTTTGTCAGAATGATGCTGAGTGGGACACTCCCTGGAGCTGAGGCTGGACAGCACTGACTCCTGTTGAAATATGTGTAAGAAACAATGTTTTTAAACGTTATGACTGTAACTTGAAAAGCCCTTAAGGGAAAGAGATGAATCACCATTCCAAAGAATATTTACAACTCAGGAATTTAACCTACTAAAATACAAACCATTAATTCCACAACTAAGTTTTAACTTGGTACTTTTGAATTGCAAGGCACTGCTGCAAATTATTTTCTAAGATGGCTGATGATTTTAAAGGTGATTTTAGATGATTCTAAAGGTGAATCAGTAATGTATGTGAATAATCGGTGTCCAGAATCACTGTGTGCCTAAGAAATTAAAAGGTGATATTTTCCTCATCTCTTTCTTTCCCTCTGTAATTTAGTGGTTGTAGAGATGTGTCCACAGCAGAGCGTAGTTCAGAGGGAAGGGAAGATGTTTTCTTCCATTTGAGAGTGCCAATCAGAGATGCTCCCTGGCTGCTTAGGGTTACAGCATAGGTCCAATGGAGAATTGATTTCTTAGCGTTTTATGTGGGTATTTTCAGTGGGTTGGTGGGATTTTGTTTTGCTTTTTGCATTATCTGTGAGTCATAAAATAGCACCTGACTAGAACCGGCGCAATGACTTATTCTTGTCTTCCAAGTGCTGGGATCACGTAGGAGACCCAGCGGAAGCTCCTGACTCCTGGCTTCAGATTGGCTCAGTTCCAGCTGTTATGGCCATTTGGGGAGTGAACTAAAGGATGGAAGATCTTTTGTCTTTCCTCTCTATAGCTCTGCCTTTCCAATAAAAATAAATCTTTAACAAATAAATATCTCCTGACATTCTGGCTGTGGTAATATTAATGATATGTATTATAATGTCACAGAACTTTGACCAATCTGTTTTTTTTTTTTGCTGCCTACTCTATTCCCTTTGATCTTCCTTTTATTTATGTATATACATAATCTTTTTAAAAATTCACTTATTTATTCACTTGAAAGGAGTTACAGAGAGGGAATGTCAGGTAAGAGAGATCCTCTGTCCACTGATTGACTTCCCCAGATGCCCACAATGCCCTAGACTGGACCAGACCAAAACTCTGAAACCCAGGAGCCAGGAGTTTGTGCAGGTCTCCCATGTGGGTAGCAGGGGCCCAAGCACTTGGTTGATCTGGTGCTCTTGCCAGGAAAGGCCCTTGAAAGACCACAGGTTTTCATCTAGGATCAATCTTGTCCCTTTCTGTAGCAGATTCTGTATTGTACATCTTTTGGTAATCATTTGAGGTCAGAACTCCTTGCTGTGGGCTGTGGGATTAGCCACAGTTTGCTCCGGAGAGTGTCCGTGGAGCGCCTGTTGGATGAGCGTGTTGACAGACTTCCACAGTGCTGTTTGCCATGTTTTCCTCTCCTTGGGCAGCGTTGCACAAAGCCAGAGCAGTAGTATTATGAATCACACATCGCTCATTTTAAAGAACAGCATTGCATGCATGCTGATGTTACGCAAGGTATGCCAAAATAGTTAATTCGTACTCAAGTGTTCTTCCACGTTCCCACAAACTTAATTATCTGAACTGAGTAACTGCTAATTGATAAGACTTTTTTTTTTTTAAGTTTCTCAGTATTCCCTTGGAGGTTTGCTGGCAGAAAAACTTGATAACCACAAAATTACCTAGTGAAGTTGAGTACAAAATCAATGAAATGTCCTTAGGCCTAAAATGGAGTAATTTGAAAATGACAGACTTCTTTAAGTAGTCTGTAATTGAAGTGCTATGCTTTAATGTAAATACGGCTATCCCAGGATGCTTGAAATTCTTGGCCATTGTGTAGTCATAGAAACCAAGAGGAATTTGCTGGCTACAAAGCCATTTTCAGTAGAAACATGCTGAAGCATGATCTGTTTAACACCTATCATCTCTCTCTCTCTCTTTTTTTTTAAGGTTTATTTATTTTTAA